GAAGTGGGGCAGAGAGAGTCAGACTTAGATCTACAGAGGTATTTAGGCTCCTAACCTGCAGATTTAGATGCCTAAATCCCATTTTTAGAAGCCGCTGCAATCCACAAAACCCCTATTCAACTGCTGCCCAACCCTGTAGGTGCCTAAACTCACTCCGCACCTAGCTTTTTGCTGTACAAGTTCCCTCTGGGCATGCACACTGCTGCCACTGCTCTCTGTGTGTCCAGGCGCCTCAGCCCCAGAGCGATGCGTGAGCTTGGGAGAGACAGGCATGCGCCTGCAGGGAGCAATCAAGAAGATGCTGTCCCTTTAGCCCAGTGGTTAGGGCACTCACCTAGGAGACAGAGGTTCAAGTCCCCCTTCTATCTAGTGAGGAGAAGGGATCGGCTACTGCTCAGGTGAGAGCTCTAACCACCAGGCTATGGGATATTCTGATGAGGGGGGGAGGTCGTCTCCTACGGAAGTTGTTCCACTTTAATTCAATAATGTAATATCAATGAGGCCAAAGAAAACATGAGAATTGCTCTATAGTCCAGTGGTGGCAGATCACTGATCAGATCCCTTCTTCTCGTCAGGCAGAGAAAAGACTGGAACCAGGAGGCCTCCCACAACCCAAGTCAGTACCCTAATCATGGAGCTAAAAAGTTTTAAACAAGGGCCTTCCTCCCCCTCCTCCTGGGCTGTTTTGGAGCCTTTGCGCATGGAGAAACCGCAGGGGCACAGTGGGGTGTCCCCAGTAACCATTGTTAACTAAATCTATCCAAACAGGAAAGGCCCAGTTACACACACACTGCTGCTCCAAGTGGTTTCTGACTGCTCCTAAAGCATAGAACACTGTGAGCGCCACTCGAGGGCTCACAAACCATTTAAAGGAATCACCTACAGTATATTCTCCTCCTCCCTTAACATAATATTATAGAAAAGTTACAAATGTATTCTCACTCCTGCTATCACTCGATATACAACATGCTACAAATTCAGTCTGAGGGGTGGTTTATGACTTCCTTGTCTAGATGACGTTTCACAGGCAACACGACAGCCTCTGGAACAGTGCCTGTGTTTTCTGGAGAGCTGTATCAGCAACACCTTCCTGCTGTGTAATGTTAGGGTCACTTGTAGTAGAAACTGGGACGTGAGACTCACTGGTGCTATCACGAGTCTGTGGCTGCGGCTGTATCATAGGTGGGCTATTTTCAACAGGCATCACTGGGGTAGGACATCCTGGGGAATGTGTGCTAAAAACCTGGTGCTGATATCTTCTCCATGACCTGTTTGGTGCCACTTCTACCCACTTGACAGTGCGCTGGTCAGTGACTTCAGGCTTCCATAAATTATCTCTGTAGTCTCTTACTAAGACACTTTTTCACACATGAAAACTGCGCAATCCAGGATGACTTTTTGCCCCCACTTGATCAGACGGTATCTTATAAATGTCCCTCGGCCTTTAACAAGTCCAGTCCAGACATTAAATGATGTCTCATCAGCAACATCACTCAAGTTTGATTTGTTGCAGTACTTATTGCATTTCTATAGGCCAAGGGAAAATTCACAGTCTTGTGTTGTAAGTTACCTTTATCCAGAGGCATAACCCAAATCACTTGCTTGAATGGCTGGATAAACTATTCCGGTAATCCCTGTGTGGCAAGATGGTGAAGCGCTGATGTGATATGTCTGATACTATTTATCTGACATACACTTTAAACTCTTTGGATATGAATTAGGGGTATGGAACAGCTGCCGTATGAGGAAAGAATAAGACTGGGACATTTCAGCTTGGAAAAGAGACAACTAAGGGGGGATCTGATAGAGGTCTATAAAATCATGACTGGATGTGGAGAAAGTAAATAAGGAAGTGTTATTTACACCTTCTCATAACACAAGAATTAGGGGTCACCAAATAAAATTAATAGGCAGCAGGTTTAAAAGAAACAAAAGGCAGTATTTTTTCACACAACGCACAGTCAACCTGTGGAACTCCTTGCCAGAGGATGTTGTGAAGGCCAAGACTATAACAGGGGTCAAAAAAGAACTCGGTAAGTTCTTGAAGGTCAGGTCCATTAATGGCTATTAGCCAGAATGGTCAGAAATGGTGTCCCTAGCCTCTGTTTTCCAGAAGCTGGGAATGGGTGACAGGGGATGACTCACTTGATCACCTGTTCTGTTCATTCCCTCTGGGGCACCTGGCATTGGCCATTATCAGAGGACAGGATACTGGGCTAGATGGACCTTTGGTCTGACCCAGTATGGCCGTTATGTTCTTTAATTGGTTCTATTGTCACTTACAATCTGCTCAGGACCTTCTGTCCTCGACAACTATAACAGTCTTAAAATTTCTACCATCTGAGCCGAACAAACTGAATTCAAACAGAATATTTCCAGCCACTTAGAATGGGCATCTATTGCTATCAAAAACATATCTCCCAAGTAGCCCAGCACAGTCTCTGTGGATTCACTGTCACACAGTAGTGGACTATTCCCAAGGATCATGTTCAAGAGTGTGTTATGTTTCGCTTACAAGGTTTGCATTGTTTTGCCATTTACAGTAAAAGCTTTGTTATCCGGCATGTTGGGAGAATGGGGGTACTGGTTAATCAAAACTTCCAGTGAACTAAGTGTTATACTTACCAATGGAATGCCAATTTTCAAAGAATTAGAATACAATAAAATGAATAAAGTATAAAAGAGTATACAGATAGTAATGCACTGCAGAGTGCTTGGTTTTTTGAAGCACTTAGGTGTATACAGGGAAAGTTTTCTATACAGAAGGTTATCTTATGACACCACATATCACTATGAGCAGTGCAATGCATACACCCAGATCACTAAAAATACACTGAACACTAAAGCTATACTGAACATAATTTAATCTTTCCTTGATGATTCAGAAGGCACTTCAGGATCTTGCTGTGCCTCACGGTCAGCATTATCAACATCAATTATCACTGTAGATGTGGAAGGTGTAGGAGATTGGGCTGAATCTGTAATGACCCTATGACACACCCTGGAAGCTGCTTTTTTGAATAAATTCCTGATATCTGCTTGCTGACTTGTCTTCTGCCTCTTTTGCATAAAAGTAGAGTGCAGGATGTGCAATTGCATAACCTCCTGGGCAGTAAACTAGTCCCGGTTACTAGACTGAAGATTTCTATTGGGAGAGATCAGAAATACCAGTTAATAGAGCTTTGCAGTTGATAAAGTGCCAGATAACAAAGCTTTTACTGTATGTATCAATCCCCGGCCACTACACAAAACTCCTAGCAAGGATTTGCATTGGTAGGCCTTGCCAGATGACCTAGATCTTTATAGTGTTTCCACCATCTCAGCAATGGTTATTTTTTGGTGGGTTTAACAGGCGCCACCTGTCTTTCATCAGTTATGTTATTAGAAATTATAGATTGTTCCAGTCTCTCGCTACAGGTGTGCTATCAAACAAATCCATTTCCCCCAAACAGCCACATATTTTTGACTTAAAAAAAAAAAAAAAACCTCTCTAAATGAGCAGTTAACTTACAGTCCCAGCAAGTTTTCTCTGAAAACATCCACTCAGTGCACAGCGGCAGTCAAAAAAGCTGACAGAATATTGGGAATCATTAGGAAAGGGATAGATAACAAAAGACAGAAAATATCATTTTGCCTCTATATAAATCCATGGTACAACCACATCTTGAATACTGTGTGCAGATGTGGTTGCTCCATCTCAAAAAAGATATATTGGAACTGGAAAAGGTTCAGAAAAGGGCAACAAAAATGATTAGGCGTATGGAACAGCTTCCGTATGAGAAGAGATTAATAAGACTGTGATTTTTCAGCCTGGAAAAGAGACGACTAACGGGTGATAAGATAGAGATCTATAAAATCATGACTGGTGTGGGGAAAGAAAATAAGGAAGTGTTACTTATTCCGTCTCATGACACAAGAACTAGGGGTCACCAAATTAAATTAATAGGAAGCAGGTTTAAAACAAACAAAAGGAAGTATTTCTTCACACAAGGCACAGTCAAACTGTGGAACTCTTTGCCAGGGGATGTTCTGAAGGCCAAGACTATAACAGGGTTCAAAAAAGAACTAGATAAGTTCTTGGAGGATAGGTCCATCAATGGCTATTAGCCAGGATGGGCAGGGATGGTATCCCTAGCCTCTGTTTGCCAGAAGCTGAATGGGTTGGATTCACTTGATGACTACATGTTCTGTTCATTATCCCTGAAGCACCTGGAATTGGCCACTGTGGGAAGACAGGATACTAGGCTAGATGAACCATTGGTCTGACCCAGTATGGCTGTTTTTAAGTGCAGTCACTGTCTATTTCACTCTATTCCTGGATTAGGATCCCATCCTTTCTACAGCTGTTATGTCTTTTGCTCTTTACGTAACATACGTAATGTGGAGAAACTACACAAGCACAGTGGAGTCCAAAAAGCTGTGTTTTGTACATATATTCAACATGCAAGACCTAGGTACATACCTATACCACTGTTCTGGTCTTGAAGACAGTGAGGGTCAGCAAAGGCCCTCACATACAATTTAAAGGAACACTTCCCAATCCCTTTACACTATACTGGGTTTACACAGGAAGAAGAGAGCTGGAGGAGGACCTAAGACCAAGGCAGGAGGAAGAACCCTCAACCCCAGAAGGTGGCTCCCATCTGGTATCTTTAAGACTCTTTTGGGGGTGGTATTTGGTTACATGATGGAGACAGAGCCTAACCCACAGTTTACACGGGGGTATCTGGGTGTGTGCCCACCAGTGTGCGGGGATGGGGCCAGGAATGCAGAGATGCTCCACCTAAATCCCTGGCAAGCGGAGAAGCTCTGAGTTTTCACAGGGGTGGTATTGAGACCAGAGTATATAGGCAGTATCCAGAACTGTAGAGGCTGGCAGAGGGGCTGCAGAGCTAGGCAGAATCCGCACAGGCCAGATGATTTGGATTGGTCTTGCCTGGTTAAACAGACACCCAAGATGGCAACTGACAAATGTAAGTTATCTACACTGGTCAGCCCTAATAGCCTCTAGTGTGGAGCCTCTGATGTGTTACGAGATTTGAGTTGGTACTAAAACATTTTCCACATTCGCTGCATCGATACGGTTTTTCTCCTGTGTGGATTCTCTGGTGTTTAATCTGATTTGACCTTTGGCTGAAGCTCTTCTCGCAACTGGGGCATTTATAAGGCTTTTCTCCTGTATGGATTCTCTGATGCCTAATCAGAGCTGAGCTTTGCGTGTAGCTTCTCCCACAGTGCAGGCATTTATAAGGCCTCTCTCCTGTGTGCAGTCTCTGGTGTCGGATAAGGTCTGAGTTTACACCGAAGCTTTTTCCGCACTCGGGGCATATATAGGACTGCTCGCCCGTGTGCAGTCTCTGGTGCCTAATGAGGGCAGTGCTCACAGTGAAGCTTTTTGTGCATTCGGGGCACTTGTAGGGTTTTTCTGCCATGTGGGTTCTCCGATGCTTAACCAGGGCTGAGCTCTGGATGTAGCTTTTCCCGCACTCGGGACACCGATAGGGTCGCTCTCCCGTGTGGATCCTCTGGTGTATAGTGAGCTGCGAGCTCACGATGAAGTTTTTTCCACAGTCGGGGCACGTATAAGGTTTCTCCCCCGTGTGGAGTCTCCGGTGTGCAATGAGGTTGGAGCTCACGTTGAAGCTTTCCCCGCAGTCGAAGCATTTGTAGGGCCTCTCCCCGGTGTGGATCCTCCAATGGGTGATAAGGTTGGAGCTCCGTTTGAAGCTCTTCCCGCACTCCGTACACGTGTGTCTTCTCTCCCCCTCTGGGTTGCTCAGCTGGGCTGGCGTTTCCTTGAGGCCCTTGCAACCTCCCACACCATTGTTGGATTTGCCACCTTTCTCCGATGGATGATTTCCCTGCTGCCTCTTTGGCCTGTGCTCAATCCCACAGCCTTCTCCCCGCTCGGGGTACTGGGAGACACGCCCTTCAGCTCTTCCTGATAATGTCCCATGTGGTTCTGCTTGCTCAGGACCATCCTGCTGAGGATTTCTCTCCTGCTTCTCACTCACCGTCCCATCACCTGCCGGGATAGAGAATTCAGACATGAGTCCTTCCCTTCACTGGGGAGAAAGGAAGGCTCAGAAAGGGAATAGCAAATTGGGGGGGCTGGGGAAATGAAACACAGTAACCACTGGGGTGGTTGAGAAAAAAAGGAACCTGATTTAGACACTAGAAAGAGAGGTCAGTGGGGAGCTATTGCTAGATGTCAGTCAGGATCGGTGGAAGCCATGAGTGACGTCTGCCATGAGGGTATGGCACATGCTGGGTGTAAGAGATGGTGGGGCAGAACTGGGAGAGCTCACGAGGTCTTTGAGCGAATCTCAGCTGATGGTTCCCTACATCCACTTCACTGGTTCCCCACCTGTGCAGGTACCTCTCAACATCTCCCTCTCTGCAGAGCCCTGAAGATCCGGGACCCACAGCTCTTCCCCTCTTTCCAGCCGGACGATCACATCAGATTTGGGAAGGAGAAATCCTGCCCAGGGAGTGAAATCAGGCAAGATCAGGATGCATTATACATTTGTAGAATATCAGTCACAAAGAACATTCCCTGATTTTAACCAGCCCCCATGCTGTGTGTGTGACATGTGAATGTAGGAGAATGTGGTCACTGACCCCCACGCCCATGGGAGAGGCAGATGTCTGTATGGAGAGATATTGCACCTCAGTAGGAGTTTCTGGGGGACATGCTAACTCAGACCCAGCTCTGATATTAAGTCCCTGCCTGTTTCTAAACCTGCAGAGGCCAGGGCCCACCCCACAGATGGAGCTAGTCCCAGGAAGGGAGGGGAATTGGGGTTCTGTGTGAGACAGTGAATACAGACAGCTGAAGATGAAGCTTCTGCCCCCATGTAAATTATGGGGGGTGGATATGAAGTAGGATCTCCCTTAGGTTTCTGACTCCCCTGTCCCATGGGAAAAGGTATAGAGCTGAAAGTCTCTCTCTCACCAGACCAGGGGACTACGGGCCCAATCCCCTACAGCCTAGGATACCAGGAAAGGACCTGAGCAGAAGCCAAATTGGGCACATCGCAGACCCTACAGCTTCTAACAATCAATACTCCTGGGGGAATTCTGCACCAAAAAAAAAATAAAAATTCTGCACACAACACAAAATTCTGCATATTTTATTTGTCAAAATAACACAATATAATCATGCCAGTTACAAATATTTTGGTAATTTATTTCAAAATATTTGTCAGCAAGTATGTCTGTAACAATGCAGATCCAAAAAAGAAAAAAAAAGATTCTGGTAATTTTTTTTTTTTTGTACAAATAGATTCCTTATGAGGCATATTAATACAGAACTTAGTGTAATTCATTTAAATTGAAATGAACTGTATTTCCTGCACCTGTCAGAAGTAGTGCAAAGGTTTAGGGGAGTCAAGGGTCACGGAAGAGCTGAGGGAGAGGGAAGGAGCCTAGGAGTGAACCTGGAGGGTGTTGGGTGTGGGTATGTGTTTTTTCTTTGCTGGGGGGGAGGGGGATTGTTAGGGTGTTTGGAAGCCTCCCCCATGCAGCCCCTGGCTGACCCCAGGCACGTCTGCCCCTATCCCTGCATGTCTCATCCCTATGGGTCTCTGCAATCCCCCTCCCCTGTCCCCAGACTCAACACCGTCACCCCACTCCTGAGCCCATGCTCCAGTCTGTCCCATTCTGAACCCCAGTCTGTGATCCCCCAGCAGCCCTGGGTGCCCCTCTCTGTCCTGACCTGGATGCGGGGGCAGGGGGCTGTGATAAACTCTACTCCTGGGAGAATTCTGCTGCACTGGGCAGAGAATTTGGTATTTTCCCCGCATAAAATAAATTTGTTCTGGCGCCACAATGGCCTCTGGTGGGTAAAAGGCGGAACTGCAGCATTTCTGAGGCAAAAACGTTTTTTATGCGGGCAAACACAAACGCTCCCCATTGCTAGCTGCTGGATGTGAGGGGATAGGGCAGCTCCCCTGGGCCTCACAGCTGGGTGGCCCCTTCATATTTCATAGTAGCCTCTGGCTACTGGGCTCAAGCTTCCACACGGAGAGGCTAGCAAATTTCCCAGTTTCTCTCCAGGGGTTTGTTTACTGTTCCATAAATTGGGGGAATTCTGCCCCCTTGCAATGGGCCCGTTCCTATAAACCAGGACCCAGATCCAACAAGTCCCAGCAGGTTTCTCTCACACCCTGTCCCCCTCTCTTTCTCCTCTGTGTATTTTCTGCCCTGGTCCCTTCAGGACAGGTCCCTGAGAAATCCCCTACCTGAATTGGCTTCACCACAGCCATTCCTTTACCCAGCCCCTCGGGAGAATGGGACAATCTGGAGCGAAACGTGGATGTTATTCTGCAGCCTGTCTGGGCAAGAGGAGTGATTGGGGTAATTGCAGAAGGAGTTTTAGTCCATTTCACACCCCAATTCTCAACAGGCTCTTTCCCTGCAGAGAGACTCTGCCTGGCTGGGAAATCACTTGGTCACTTTATTACACCCCAGACCCAGACTCTCCCAAAGACATTTTTAAACCCTCTGCATAGCAAAGGGAAATTTCACTGCCCAAAAAAACTTTGTTAACACAGAGCTAAGGTGACTGACCCACCTCATGTGCTTCCAGACCATTGAATCAACTCTGTGTAAACCTCTGAAAACCAGGAATTAAAGATTTCTGGTCCACATTAGCCCTGGCAATGTTTTCATACTGGGGACGTTTACCCATCCCTGTGGAACTCTATGGGAACCCCATGGCTTATCACTAGGGCCCTACTAAATTCACGGCCATGAAAAACGTGTCACGGACCATGAAATCTGGTCTTCCCCCATGAAATCGGGTCTTTTGTGTGCTTTTACCCAGATTTCACGGGGGGGCGGGAGGGGGAAGACCAGTGTTTCTCACTTTGGGGGTCTTGACCCAAAAGAGAGTTGCAGGGGGGTCCGCAAGGTTATTTTTTGCGGGGCTCATGGTATTGTCACCTTTATTTCTGCTCTGCCTTCAGAACTGGGCAGCTGGAGAGCTGCGGCTATTGGTCGGGCACCCAGCTCCGAAGCCACCTCACCAGCAGCAGTGCAGAAGTAAGGGTAGCAGTACCGCAACCCCCACCCCCCACACACAATAACCTTGCGACCTCCCCACAACTCCTTTTTGGGTCAGGACTCCTACAATTACAACACTGTGAAATTTCAGATTTATATAGCTGATATCATGAAATTTACAATTTTTAAAATCCTATGACCGTGAAATTGACCAAAATGGACCCTGAATTTGGTAGGGCCCTACTGATCACTGGAAGCAGTAGCTGGCTCGGGTGTGTGTGTGGGGGGCAACAGGACAGAAATGGTGTCAGATGTGTAAATAAGGAATAAACCCACACACACACTCTCTCTCACCGCTCCATGTTATTGCCCTAACTGCACAGAGATGGCTAAATCTGCCATATTTCAAGTTGTCTTTCCCACACCTCTTCTTTTCCCTGCATCTCGGTCTTATTTTTCACCCCCTCCCTGACAACTCCTCTGACAAAACGGGATAGCCCACTGAAGCTTATTCATGGTCCCCCTGAAGCGGCTCTCTCCTGCAGTTTGGCTCTTGGTGCAGACAACCCCAAAATCATGACATTTGCTAAAAATAAAAATTAAAAAAATTGCAGATTCTGTTTGTGGGCATTCAGGCTTTTGGGTTTCACTCAAGTCATCAAGCTTTTCTGTGCAACCATGAAGGCTAGCAGCTGAGTTTTAATGACAGCAGAGAGTCACACCCTAATGCCTGGACTAGAAGGGCAGTGTTTGCCCTGAGATCTCCCAGACACAGTTTAGAAAGGCAGCAGATCAGTCTCCAAAAAGTGGGAGAAACACTGGACCAGACCAGTGGCTCTCAGCCTTTCCAGATGACTGTCCCCCTTTCAGGAGGTTGGTTTGTCTTGCATGCCCCCAAATTTCACCTCACTTAAAAATGACTTACTTACAAAATCAGACATAAAAATACAAAAGTGTCACCACACACTAGTACTGAAAAATTGCTTCCTTTCTCATTTTGTCTGTATGAAGTTTTAGCTTGTACCGACTTCACTAGGCTTTTTATGTAGCCTGCTGTAAAACTAGGTAAATAGCTAGGGGAGTTGATCTACCCCCTGGAAGACCTCTGTGTACCCCCAGGAATATCATGTGCCCCTGGTTGAGAACACTGGACTGGACTAGAGGACCTGGGGCTTTAAGAAAAGCATAAAATAACAAGAGACTGGGACTGCCAGATCTGAGGCTGTGCATAGTCACTTCCCTGCCTGGCCCCAGCCCTTTCCCCCGGGTCTCTCCCCTCACCTGCAGGCTCCGGCTCCGGATGGTGTCGGCAGAGCCCGGGGCTGCCCCAGAGGCTGGTTCCAAGCACCGGAGAAAGTCCCACCTGGGCTGGGCACAGAGGGGAGTTAATGCAGGTCTCCCCCTGCACAGACCCCGCTGAAGCAGCTGCTCAGCCCGGGCTCCCAGGTCACAACAGAGGTAGCAGCATCTTCCACCAGGCTTTAGCACTAACTCAGATGTAGGATCCGCCTGGGCTCCGATTCCTCTTCCTTTTCCCCCAGCAGCTCCTGCCTCCCTCTCTCCCCTCCCAGCATCAGCGGCTAGAGCCCAGCTGGTTTCGCCCCTTCCTGTGCCCTTCAATACCAAGTCGGGTAGCAACACTCACAGGGACTTTCTCAGGCTGGAAGGAGCCTTGTTCCCACACAGCTGTGAATAGAACCCAGGTGTCCTGACTCCCTGCCCATCCCCCCCGGCCTGAGAGCTTCCCAGCCTGGGGCGGTTTTGGTTTGGTTTTCACTACAGCTGGATCCACACACACCTTTGGAGAAGCCCCAGGCACCTACCAATCCCCGGCAAGGAGACCCCCCCATGTCCCTTTGCAAAACCTTCCCCTGAGCCCTGGCAGTTCAAACCCGGCGGCTGCTGCATGCAAGGCGCCGCTCCCCGGGCCCCAGCGCTGGGAGGAAGCGGAGCAGGGCCAATGCTGCCCGCGGTGCTAGGAGCCCATCCTCCGGAGCCTGCTGCAGCCCTGGGGGCAGCTGGGGAGCACGGCGGGGACCCCCTGGAGGCAGCTGGGGGAGCGGATCTCCAAGGGGTTTGTGCGGAGCTGTAGGATGCTCGGGTGCTGTTGTGAGAGGAGGGTGTTCAGAAGTGGGGGGTTGGAGCTAGGAGGTGCGAGGAGGGTGCTTATCGCTGGGGTGTGGGGGGAGTTGGAGCTGGAGGGTTAGGGGGTGTCACTGGGGAGGTTGGGAGCTGGTTGTTGGGGGGGTGTTGTTTGTAACTGGGGTGTGTGGGACATGCTGGTGGGAGGGTTGGAGGTGGAGGGTTAGGGGGTGTTACTGGGGAGCTGGTTGTTGGGGGGGGGTGCTGTTTCTAACTGGAGTGTGTGGGCATGCCTGGGGGGGGGTTGGAGCTGGAGGGTTAGGGGGTGTCACTGGGGAGGTTGGGAGCTGGTTGTTGGGGGCACTGTTTGTAACTGGGGTGTGTGGGATATGCTGGTGGGGGGGGCGGGAGCTGGGTGTGGAGATGGCATGGCGGGGATGTTTGGAGCTGGGATGTTTCAGATTAGGGGGTGCTGGTGGTTAGGGTTGCCACCTCTCCGGTACAAACCCCAGAACATCTGGGATGATGCTGAGCCCTCATCTGGGGAAAATCTGGGCAGGTGGCAAGCCTGGTGTTTGAGGGGACTGGAGCTTTGTGGGGTTGTGTGAGGGGGAGATATTTGGATGTTGGATTTGTGCTGGACACTGATTCTAACTGGGGGGGGGGGTTGAGGTCTGATAGTGCGGGGACCAGGGAGCTGGTATGTGGGAGTTGATTTATGGGGCAGTGGTTGGAGCTGGGGTGTTGATTGGTGGCTGTGTTTAGAACTGGTCTGCGGAGAGATGTTTGGAGCTGGGGCGAGTTGCGGGGGTGGGAAGGGGTTTGGAATTAAGGCTGTTTGCGGGGAGGGATGATTGGAGCTGGTGGTTTGGGGCTGCACTCACACACACCCCCTCCCTTGAGCTGCCATTGTTTTTCTCTGGCCCATGGCCTTGCCCCTCTGACATCTGCCTCACTGTAGCTGCCAAACCCACAAGCCTGAGGGCCTCCTCCTGCCCTGTGATCTGTGTGAGCGAGTGCCAGGGATGGTGTACCAGCATCTGCAGGGCAGGACTGGGCCCTGAAATCTGGCAGTTGGGTGGCCATTGGCAGCAGTTTGTAAAAAAGCACCTTCTTTCTCCCCTCCCCTCCCCCTTTCTTCCAGGAGATGTCACAAGCGTGTCTGGCCTGTCTGAGGAAAAAGAGAGAAGACAACAAAGCTTATAGGGAGAGAAAAAGCAAAGAGCCACTGGTAGGTACAGCCTCCCACTCAAGTATACCTGGGATTGGTTTGCCCAGAGCAACATGGCAAATGCAGGGCCCGTCCTGCCAGCCTCAGCCAAGAATCCCTCCTCATTGGAGCCGAGGGAGGAGGGCAGGGTTGGGCACATGTTGGGTAACGTGATGACCTCCGGGTGTGAGAGGCTGCTATGCAGGAGAGGATCTGCCTGTGTATTGGCGTGGAGAGACCCAGTCCAAGGGCTGCTGTGATATTACAGTGGCTGGGGTTTCTCTATAGCAGCGGTTCTCAATCAGGGGTAAGTGTACCCCTGGGGGTACACAGAGGTCTTCCAGGGGGTACATCAACTCATCTAGATATTTGCCTAATTTTACAACACGCTACATAAAAAACACTAGTGAAGTCAGTACAAACTAAAATTTCATACCGACAATGACTTGTTTATACTGCTCTATATGCTGTACATGGCAATGTAAGTACAATATTTATATTCCAATCGATTTATTTTGTAATTATATTGTAACAACAACAACAGCAATTTTTCAGTAACAGTGTGGCTGTGACACTTTTGTATTTTTATGTCTGATTTTGTAAGCAAGTCATTTTTAAGTGCGTGAAACTTCGGGGTATACAAGAAAGGGGTACAGTAGTCTGGAAAAGTTGAGAGCACCCAGGGCAGTGATGGAGAGAGAGAGAATGTGGGCTGCCTGGCAAGTTTGACTCGGTGCAAGCTGACAAGGTTAGCAAGGTGCCATGCTACTCTCCTTGTTTGCTGTCAAGCTTGGAGCTGGGGCGAACCTTTATATCTCTACGAACTCTGTCCATGTGCCAAGATCATCGGGCGTATTGTTTTCAGGGCTGCGGTAGACTGCCGCATGTCCTTCTGCCCCTCGCATGAGGGGTTCTTCTGGCTTTTCCTTCGTCTCCAATAAGTCACATTAGACAGAAAGTCTATGGCCGCCCCTTTGTTCAGAAAACTGTTTCCCTTCACCCACTTCTGGGCCATATGCTTGGGCCCCTTTTGCCAGGGCGGATCTTAAATATATTATTGCCTTTGGTGAGTGATATTTTTCCCTCCCTCCCCAATAATTTGTACTCAAAAAATCAGATATTCTCTCTCACAAGAACTGATCATCTAGCCGGCCCCATCTCTTCCTGCACCCCGTTCTGTGATGCTGGGCTCCTGGAAAATACAGGTTCGGAGGGAACTCTACCAAATTGTGGTGGCCAATTTATGTGCCTTTTGCAGTAGATAGTGCAGATCTTCATGCTATGATTGTCCTTGCTTTCCTTATGGGCTTTGACTCTCAGCTGAAATAGTTAACAGTGTGGCCATCTAATGTGTCGACCTTGGAGTCTGTGGTCAACATGCCATTTGGGATGAATGGAGCAGTTCATGCATCTCAGAGCTCCTGTGTCGGGCACTGATAATCGCACCAGTTAAATTTCTTTCACCTTTTTTCTTTGCCATCGTTGTTCCAGGGGCTGGTGACCTTCGAGGAGGTGGTTGTGTACCTCACTGAGGGGCAGAGGGCTCTGCTGGACCCCAGTCAGAGAGCCCTCTACAGGGATGTCATGCAGGAGAATTAGGGAACAGTGACCTCACTATGTAAGGATGCCTGTCCCCTCTGTGACTAGCTGCTGTGGAGTCTCTGGAGTGCCAGCATCTGCTTCTGCTTGGGGTTCTTTCCTGGTCCTCAGGGTTTAAGTGAAAATGTGGGGAAGTCACATTTTCCCATCCTCTCCTCCAGGCCCCGAAGGATCTCTCCTTTCTTCCGCCCCTCTCCTGGGTTTGTGGGAGCCCCCCTCTCTTTTCCTTGCTGCATCCCATCATGTCATGACAATGAAACGTAGCAACACCCCGTAATATCAGGATCTGTGATGACAGGCACCCAAATCAGTGACTTCTCCCTATCTACTCTGATCTTCTTTTAACTGCTGTTGGTCCCTTAGATTTAAGGGCAGGGGAGTATCAACCCTTTATTCCCCAGAACCCTTGTGAGAGAGACTCACTCCCACACCCTCTTCCCAGGAAATTCAGAAACTTTGCATCCCTCCCCCAAGGAGGCAGAAGGGCTGTACAGAACTTTGCATTCACACAGACTCCCTGGTCCCTTCCTGCCTGGACTTCACCCTATCCATAGAGAGGCTTTGGAGGTTTAGAACCAGACAAAGGGCTTAGCACCAAGACTGTGTCAGCCCATGTCTGAAGATTCCTGAATCCCCACAAGAGGAACAACACTCGCCCCTACACATGCAAACGTTTCTCACCCTGAGTATTACCACCTTCCCATGTATTCCTCCTCCCTCCCCACCCCCATACAGAAGGAGGCTGAATCAAAATAATAGAGCGTTCTACATAGGGCATATTATCAGGAGATATACTTCCCCCTGATCATGCATATTTTCTTTCCGCTGAGCAGGACGTCGGATTTCTAAGCCCAACATGATCTCCCAGCTGGAGCGAGGGGAAGACCCATGCATCCCAGACCTCCAGAGCTCAGAGAAAAGGGAGAGTCCAGGGGGTACCTGCACAGGTGAGGAATTGGTTAAAATGACCCATTGACAAAGGAAGTAAAAAGTTGGGATTCCCACAAAGGCCTCCTGAGCTCCCCCCAGTTCTGCCTCATCTCACCCAGGTCAGAGCTGTCCCCAGCCGGTGTTGTATCCTCACGTCAGACGTTACTCATGGCTTCCTGCCCCGGCTGACTGACACCTGGCCTTAGCTCCCTTCCCCCTGAGTGTTCAGATGGATGCAGAGGCAGAACTGGTCCTCTCCTCTCTCTCTCCTCCAGGGGAAGGGAAATCAGCTTCTGATTTCTGTAGGTGAACAGTTGGTTTTGTTTTGAGGTATGCCCTTCTCTGAGATCCCCTGCCTCCCCGGCACAGGGAATGACTCGCATTTGGGGTTTCTCTCTGTCCCTGCAAGTGACTTGACGGTGGCTGAGAACAAGAAGGAGAATTCTCAGCAGGAAGGCCCTGAGCCAGGGGAGCCTCATGGGACAGTGTCAATAAAATCAGACGGGAATGTGTCCCTAAACCTGGAACAGGGGGAATTGCATGGGATGCCATCAGTAAAAACCGAAGGGAACTTTTCACAGAGTTGTGAGCAGGGAAAAGTCTGTGAACCTCAGTGTGGATCAGAAAGGCTGCAAGAACACCAGCTGGGGATGAGTCAGGATAAATCCACTCATGATGTGGGTGGTTTGGAGAAACTCAACAAAAGCATAACCCAGCCGAGCAGCCTGGTGGGAGAGAGACCCTACCCGTGCGCTGAGTGTGGGAAAAGCTTTAGTTGCAACTCACGCCTTATCCGGCACCGGAGGATGCAGACAGGGGAAAAACCCTATAGCTGCGCTGACTGCAGGAAAAGCTTCAGCCACGGTTCCGCTCTCATCCAGAACCGGAGAACCCACGCGGGCGAGAGGCCTTACAAGTGCCCCGACTGCGAGAAAAGTTTCTGCAGCAGCTTGGCGCTCGCCAGCCATCGCAGGCTGCACACGGGAGAGGAAACCCTATGCCTGCTCCATGTGCGGGAACAGCTTTAGCTGCAGCTCGTCCCTCTTGACGCACCGACGAGTCCACACAGGCAAGAGACCCTATCCCTGCCTGGGCTGCGGGAAGAGCTTCCGGCAGAGATCCAACCTGGTTGTGCATCAGATATTCCACTGTGTGAATAGACCTTACAAATAAACAAACGCCCGTCCCATCCCCAGAGCATTTGCAGTTCTCAGGAATGCCAGGGGGCATTCGGTCACCGGCTGCCTGTCTCTGGGGTCAGGAGACAGCAGTAGCCTACTCCAGCCTGATTGGTACTGCTCTCTGGCTCGGCAGGCGGAGGAACAGAGACCCCGTTCGGCTCCGCCTTCTTGCTGCAGCCCCAGCTTCTAAGTCCTTTGCTTCATGGCAGGGGAGGAACAAGATCATCCCAGGCACAGAAGGCAGATGGGAGGGACTCCCCTCCCTTCTCTATCCATGGAGAGGGATACTCCAGCCATGTCTCACTCCAGAGACCTGTGCCTAGCTTCACCCAGCATCTGGGCTGTGATCACCACTCTGGTTTCCTCAAATAGTCGTGGTTGACCAAGGGCTTGTCTACATAGGGAAAGAGACTGGAACAGCTATTGCCAAATGACTTTGGAAGTAGATTAAACTACACCACAAAAAGTCACTCTTGATATGGTATAAAAGCATCCGCACAGGGAATTATTGTAGAATTGCTCTTGTGCTTTACATCCATACCCTAGCTTATTTGGAATAACTTCCCTGCGTAGACAAGGCCTTAGAAAGTTGCTTCTAAGTTTCCCTGTCACAGGTGATCAATCTGGTTGAGGGAAAAAGTGACAATGAACACAGCCAAAGAGAATACATTTCAAAAGTCACAGGCTTGTTCACTGAAGTGGTTCTGCAGTATTCTGCCAGGGATGAGATCCTCAACTGGGGGGCATTTAGCCCTTTGGGGAATAATGCAAAAGAGGTGCATTATAAGGGGCGCTAATTGCCTAACGGAGAGGGCACTGGCCTGGGACCAGGGTTCAATTCATAGAATCACAGAACCATAGGATTAGAAGTGTTCACAAGGGTCATCTTGGCTAACCCCGTGCCAAGATGCAGGGTTTGTTGTGTCTAAACCATCCAAGATGGGTGGCTCTCTAGCCTCCTTTTGAAAACCTCCAGTGAAGAAGCTGGCCTGTGGTTCCCTTGAGGTCCTTGTGAGTTCCTTGACTATCAATGGATATTATCCACTTTCTCTTCTGGCTGGTTTCCCTGCTGCCCCTCCGGCCTGTGCTGTCTCTCACAACTTTTTCACTGCTCATAACTCCTGGACACATGCCATTTGGATCTTTGCAACAATACCCCGTGCAGGTCCACATGCTCAGCATCCTTCTGCTGAGGATTCTGTTCCTCATTCTCACTCACCATCCCACCACCTGTGCAGGCACCTCTCAGGATCTCTTGTTCCTCTGAGCCCTGGAGGTCTGGGACCCATGGATCGCCCCCTTGTTCCAGCTGGGAGATCACATCAGGTTTAGAAACTGGAAACTCCTGCGAGGTCACAGTCTCATAGTTCTCCAGAGACGTCATGCAGTAGAGAGCTCTCTGAGCAGGGTCCAGCAGAGCCCACTCTTCCTTCATAAAATACACAGCCACCTCCTCAAAGGTCACTGGCCCCTGCAGTCTCCAGCCTGGGGGGAGGGATAGCTCAGTGGTTTGAGCATTGGCCTGCTAACCCAGGGTTGGGAGCTCAATCCTTGAGGGGGCCATTTAGGGATCTGGGCCAAAAATTGGGGATTGGCCCTGCTTTGAGCAGGGGGTTGGACTAGATGACCTCCTGAGGTCCCTTCCAATCCTGGTATTCTATGAAGCTTCCACAACCTCCTGAGGCATCTGTTCAATGGGCCTATTCTTAGAGTTAGGAAGTTTTTCCTGAGATTTAATCTAAATCTGCTATGCTGTAGCTTGAACTCCTCTGTGGCAAGAGAGAGCAATGGTTCTCCATCTTTTTTATGGCAGCCTTTGAAGACTGCTGTCAGGTCCCCCCCTTAATCTCCTCTTTTCCAAACTAAACATACCCAGTTCCTTCAGCCTTTGCTCAGATCAGGGCCGGCTCTACAGTTTTTGCCGCGCCAAGCAGTGAAAAAAACTGCCGCCGCTGATGGCTAAAGGGAGAAGCTGCCGCCGAATTGCCGCCGAATTGCCGCCATGGCCCCTTTTGCACTGCTGCCCCACGCAGCTGCTTGGAACGCTGGTGCCTGGAGCAGGCCCTGGCTCCGATGGCTGCATTCCATCCCTTTGATCATCTTTGTCGCTTGCCTCTGGATCCTTTCCAGTTTCTCCACATCTTTTCTATACGCTGGTGACCAAAATTTGGCACAGCACTCCAGCTGAGGCCTAACCAGAGCCAAATCACCTCCTGCGACTTGCATGCTATGCCTCTGTTAATGCAACCTAAAGTTGCATTTGCTCTTTTTGCAACAGCATCGCATTGCTGACTCACATTGAGGCTCTGATCCAACATAACTCCCAGGTCTTTCTCAGCAGTGCTGCTGCCAAGCCAGTTAGCCCCCATTCTGTATCTGTGCCTATGGTGCTTCTTCGTAAGTGCAGCACTTTACATTTGCCTTTCTTGAATTTCGTTTTGTTGGCTATAGCCCGGTTCTCCTATTTATCAAGATCCCTCTGAACTTTAGCTCTATTCTCCGAAATGTGTCATCTGCAAATTTGATCAGCACGCTCTCTAGTCCTACATCCAGGTTGTTAATGAAGATGTTAAACAACACTGTACACGGAACAGAACCCTATGGAACCCCACTCGAGACCTTCCTCCAATCTGACATCATTCAATTCATAATTACCCTTTGTCTGCAGTTGTTTAACCAATTACATATCCACTTAATGGTAGTTCTGCCAAGCCAGCATTTCTCCAGCTTACTTATCAAAGTGTGCGGAGGGACTGTGTCAGAAGCCTTGCTGAAGTCCAGGTAAATTATGTCCACCACATTCCCGCATCCACCAAACCAGTTACTCTGTCAAAGAAGGAAATCAGGCTGGTTTGGCATGATTTGTTCTTAGTAAATCCATGCTGGCTCCTTGTGATTACCCCTTCATCCTCCAGGTATTTGCAAATTGAATGTTATACATTGCTCTATTACAGGGGTGGCCAAACTTACTGACCCTCCAAGACGCATATGACAATCCTCAGAAGTTCAAGAGCCAGGGCTTGACTGCCAAGGCTCGGGGCTTCAGCCTTGCAGGTAGGGGGATCTCAGTCCTCAGCCCTATGGGAGATGCCTGCCAGGGCTCAGGGCTGAAGCCCTGCTCCTGCTGAAGTTCCAAGCCCTAGCAGGCGTGCCCTGTGGGACTGAAGTCCCGAGACCTACCTTCCTGCTGGACAGAATCCTGAAGTGACGCATGGGGAGGGGGGCACACAGGGTCACGTGCCCCGCCCCCCCCCAGATTTTTGCCAGGATTTGCAGGCCCTGCTCAGTCACATGGTGCTGCCTGACCACCTCCTTGCATGGCAGCTGCTGGAGCTGGCAAGCTGGGAGCTGCGGCTGTGGGGAGAGACAGCGGCCAACATCTGGGAGCTGCAGGGAGAGCCATTGCTTTTGCTGCTGCCTCTCCTCGGGGAGCTAAAGCAGCGACCCCTTCCTGCAGCTCCCAGGTGTTTGCTGCTGCCTCTCCACGCGGAGCAAACACCTGGGAGCTGTAGGAGGGACTGCTGAGGATAAGAGGGGGTGTGCTTGGGGGGCATGACTCAAGCTGTTGCGGGGGGCAAACCTTTAAATTGTGCCCCCCCACACTGTTTTCAGCAGCCACCAGTCATCTCTGGCAGAAGCCCCTAGCCCTGCCAAAAGGCAGAAGCCCTAAGCTCCCCCGCAGTCTGGTAGGCAGAGATTGGGGGGTGGGGGGGCTCCGCGAGCTGCACCTGAACTGTAAAAGAGCCACATGGGGCTCGCGAGCCACAGTTTGGCCACCCCTGGTCTAGTAGCTTCCCAGGGATCAAAGTCAGACTGACTGGTCTGTAGTTCCCAGGCTCCTCCTTCCCAAATCCCCAGCTTGGCCGGTGACCCCAGGCAAGTTACTTCCCCATCTGTAACAGGGCAACAATGGCATTCACCTCCATCACTTTGAGACCTCTGGATGAATAGCCCTATAGAAGAACTCGGTATCATCATCAACTAGTGCTGCCCCAATCCCTCCAGTAGAGCAGTACCTCTGTCCGCCAGCAGAGGCTCTAGCCCTGTGTTTCTTCTCCTGCAACTTCCTAATTCCCCACATAACCCATCTCCCCGCAGGCAGGGCCATCCCGAGCAGGGTGCGGGGCCCGGGACATAGCAAGTCGGCACTTATCTGCTGGGGGGTGCTCCCCGCAGCTCCTGCCCCACTTCACCCCTTCCCCCAGGGCCCCACCCTGCCCTGCTTCTTCCCATCCCTGCTCCACCTCTTTCCACCCCTGACCCTTCCGGCCCCGCCTCTTCCCTATCCAGTTCCACCCCCTCCCCCAAGCGCGTTGCACCCTTGCGCCTCTCCCCTCCCCACCAGTGCCAGATGCTGCAAAACAGCTGATCGGCGGCAGGTGCTGATAGGGAGAGGGAAGCGCTGATCAGCAGGGCCCACCGATGGGCAGGAGCCACTGGGGGGAGGGGGAGGTTAGTAGGGGGGCTCCTCCTTCCCCCCCGCCCGCCGCTCGACTCCCTGTTCGCCTCCTGACCCCTTTTGCCCGCCTGCCTCACCTCCGCGCCGGGCACCCACCTCCTCACAAAGGGCGGGGCCCCCGGCAGTCGCCCCAATTGGCCATACCCTAGGGACGGATCTGCCTGCATGCTGGTGGCTGGAAGTTGAAGCTAGACAAATTCAGACGGGAAATAAGCACACATTTTAACAGTGCGAGTAATTCACCATCGGAACAACTTACCGAGGGTGATGGCGGAGTCTCCGTCACTGAAAATCTTTAAATCAAGATGGAATGTTTTTTCTGGTTCAAACGGGCACCATTCCAGGGAAGTCCTATGGCCTGTGTTACACAGGAGGTCAGACTAGATGATCACAATGGTCCCTTCTGGCCTCCGACTCTGGGAATAATCTTCAGCCACTGAGCACGTCCTCCCTAATTCCCCAGCACTCAAGAGGAGGGCTCTGTAATTCCCCCCACCCCGCTCCCCAGCACGCAGGGCTCCGTAATCCCACCCCTCCCAGACACACAGGGCTCCGTAATCCCACCCCTCCCAGACACGCAGGGCTCCAGACAAGCTCCACCAGCTTCTCAAGAAAGCACAAGGAAGTTTCAGGGAGGGAACTTTTTTATTTACGTGGGACCGGAAGTGACCCGGACACGAAACCAGGAAACTAAACAAAGGTGTCCGGAGAGAAGGTCTCTGCTCCCCCAACCTCAGGGCGCTGAGCGGCCAGGTGCCGTGGGGAACAGAGGAGTCGTCCACTGCAGGGTGACGGAAGCACTGGTGGAAGTGGGGGAGGGGGTTCTTACTCCACCCTCCCCTGGAGGAGACGGGTGTGTGTGTCTCTCTCTCCAGCCTCCCCATCAGATCAGCAGGAGGCGCGGGGTCTCCAGACAGCTGGATCTGCAGCAGCAAAAGGCTCTATCTGACAGCCCAAGAGTCAGCTGCTGCCCATGTCCTGGCCCCAGAGAGGCTGGCGGGGGATCACTCCCGCTGGCTGGCCCTAGCCGCGGCACCAAGGGCGCCATGCCCCCCGTGGTGCAGCCTGCGGTGGGTGATCACATTGGAGCTCTGGCTGAAGCGTTTCCCGCAGTCGGGGCAGACGTAGGGTTTCTCGCCGGTGTGGGTCCGGCGGTGCTTGGTGAGGGAGGAGTTGACGTTGAAGCCTTTCCCGCAGTCCAGGCAGACGTAGGGCCGCTCCCCGGTGTGCACCCTCTGGTGGGTGGTGAGGTGGGCTCTCTGGCTGTACTGCCGGCCGCACTCCCCGCACCGGAAGGGCTTCTCTCCCGTGTGGATACGCCGGTGCCGCACCAAGTTGGAGACCACAGCGAAGCTCTTCCCGCAGTCGCCGCAGATGAAGGGGGTCTCCCCGGTGTGGCTCCGCCGGTGGGTGAGGAGGTAGGAGCTGGTGGCAAAGCCCTTCCCGCAGTCGGAGCACGTGTAGCGCTTTTCGCGCCGGGAGGCGCTCTGGTGCCGGGCCAGGTGGGGCCGGTCGCTGAAGCCCTTCCCGCAGTCGGCGCAGCTGTAGGGCCGCTCGCCGGTGTGGGTGCGCTGGTGGGCGATCAGCTTGGAGCTGATGGTGAAGCCCTTCCCGCAGTCGGGGCACTTGTAGGGCCGCTCCCCCGTGTGCAGCCGCTGGTGGGTCAGCAGGTTGGAGCTGCCGCTGAAGCGTTTCCCGCAGTCGCTGCAGGCGTAGGGCCGCTCCCCGGTGTGGATGCGCCGGTGCTTGATGAGGTCCGAGCTGACGTTGAAGCACTTCCCGCACTCCGGGCAGGCGTAGGGACGCTCGCCGGTGTGCAGCCGCCGGTGGGTGACCAGGTGGGAGCGCTGGCTGCAGAGCCGCCCGCAGTCGGGGCACTTGTAGGGCTTTTCGCCCGTGTGGCCCCGCTGGTGACGCACCAGGTTGGAGACCACGTTGAAGCGCTTCCCGCAGTCCCCGCAGGCGTAGGGTCTCTCTCCGGTGTGGATCCGCCGGTGGGTGACCAAGGCCGAGCTGTGCCCGAAGCCTTTCCCGCAGTCGGGACAGTTGTAGGGCTTCTCGCCGGCATGCCCACGCTGGTGCCGCAGGAGGTTGGAGAAGGCGCCAAAGGTTTTGCCGCAGTCGGCGCACGGGTGGGGTCTCTTGCCCCCGTGGGTCCTCTGATGGGCCAGGAAGTTGGATCGCCGACGGAAGCTCTTCCCGCAGTCTTTGCACGTGTTCAGTCTCTCCCTGGGGCGCGGGCCCTTGCGCAACAGGGAGTCTTTGCGGGTCCTGAATACTTCCCCAAGGCGAGTGGGGTGATCTGGACAAGAGTCAATTCCTTGCGCTGGGGAGAAAGGAAATCTCAGAGAGGGGAATGGCAAAGGGGAGAAAATAAACCAAAATAACTGCTGGGGAGACTGAAAAATCAGGAGTCAAGCCCTTCCCTTGAGGAGGAGCAATTCTATCTCTGCATCCCGCTGAACACTCAGCCCGGAGGGAGGTTCTGCCAGCTGTCGGTCAAGGTGGGTGGGAAGCCACGAGCGATGTCTGCCATGAGGATATGACCCCCGCTGCGGACAATCCTGACTGGGGCGGGGGGGGATGAGGCAGAACTGGGGGTGCTCATGGGGCCTTTGTGGGAATCCCGGCTGTCTCCTTCACTCACCGATGACGTCTGTGTCAGTTTCATGGATTCCTCACCTGGGCAGTCTCCTCTCGGGTTCTCCCTTTCCCTAGAGCCTTGGAGATCCGGGACCCACGGCTCTTCCTCTTGTTGCCGCTGGGAGACAGTGTCGGGTTTTGGAATCGGAGATCCTGTTCACAAGACAGCAGAGTGGCAAAGACCCTGGTTGGTTAAACTGTCCTAAAAATTTACGGCAAGAATGTTCTGGGATTTGGCTGGAGGGGGAACATTCATGGACCACGTTCATGGACCCCTTGGGGAAATCTCCCTCTGCCCCTTTGAAAGCCCAGGAGGTGGAGACAGGATTTAGATCATTCTATTTCCAAATCTCTTGTCCCATGGGAGGAGGCATGGAGGTTCTGGCCTCATCCCAGAAATCTTGGAGACCTAGGCCGATCCCAGAGCTGCAGCTGCACAAGGCACGTCAGGGACTATACAGTTTCATAGAATCATAGAATATCAGGGTTGGAAGGGACCTCTGAAGGTCATCTAGTCCAACCCCTGCTCGAAGCAGGACCAATTCCCAGTTAAATCATCCCAGCCAGGGCTTTGTCAAGCCTGACCTTAAAAACCTCTAAGGAAGGAGATTCTACCACCTCCCTAGGTAACGCATTCCAGTGTTTCACCACCCTCTTAGTGAAAAAGTTTTTCCTAATATCCAATCTAAACCTCCCCCACTGCAACTTGAGACCATTACTCCTCGTTCTGTCATCTGCTACCATTGAGAACAGTCTAGAGCCATCCTCTTTGGAACCCCCTTTCAGGTAGTTGAAAGCAGCTATCAAATCCCCCCTCATTCTTCTCTTCTGCAGGCTAAACAATCCCAGCTCCCTCAGCCTCTCCTCATAAGTCATGTGTTCTAGACCCCTAATCATTTTTGTTGCCCTTCGCTGGACTCTCTCCAATTTATCCACATCCTTCTTGTAGTGTGGGGCCCAAAACTGGACACAGTACTCCAGATGAGGCCTCACCAATGTCGAATAGAGGGGAACGATCACGTCCCTCGATCTGCTCGCTATACCCCTACTTATACATCCCAAAATGCCATTGGCCTTCTTGGCAACAAGGGCACACTGCTGACTCATATCCAGCTTCTCGTCCACTGTCACCCCTAGGTCATTTTCCGCAGAACTGCTGCCTAGCCATTCGGTCCCTAGTCTGTAGCGGTGCATTGGATTCTTCCATCCTAAGTGCAGGACCCCTGCACTTATCCTTATTGAACCTCATCAGATTTCTTTTGGCCCAATCCTCCAATTTGTCTAGGTCCTTCTGTATCCTATCCCTCCCCTCCAGCGTATCTACCACTCCTCCCAGTTTAGTATCATCCGCAAATTTGCTGAGAGTGCAATCCACACCATCCTCCAGATCATTTATGAAGATATTGAACAAAACCGGCCCCAGGACCGACCCTTTCTAACAAACGATGGGAAAACACACCCTCCCTTACCCTGTGAGGTCCCGTTCGCATGGTTCTCCTGCATGGCGTCCCTGTAGAGGGCCCTCTGACCGGGGTCAGTGAAGTACAAAGCCACCTCCTTGAAGGTCACCGGTCCCTGAAACAACAGGCATTCGCCACTCAGCACTTGCTGCCTCAGCCCCAATCCCACCAGCTCAGCCACTGGGGACCCAGACTGGTGTGTCTGCTCCATTCCCCAACACATTATGTCCTGACAGTTCCCATAACCCCCCCAGTTAGATTTGCATCCCAACTGGTCCCTCATTCCAGACTGCTCCATGCACACCTGCCCTGTCATCACACCCAGATTTGCCTCTTCCTTGCTGCTCCGGACATAAGAATGGCCATCCTGGGTCAGACCAATGGTCCGTCTAGCCCGGTCTTCTGTCTTCCAGCCAGTGCCAATGCCTCAGAGGGAATGAACAGAACAAGGCAACTATTGAGTGATCCATCCCCTGTCGTCCAGTCCCAGCTCCTGGCAATTGTTTTGCAATGTAAGGACAGTCAGATCAGAGAGCTGCGGCTGTGGAAAATGCTTCTGATGCTGCAAGATCAAATCCAGCCTTGTCTTGACCTGCCGGCTCTTCCGACTTCGTATACGCATGGCCGTCATCCCATCCGCATTACGGGAACAGCAGCGCAGAGAGACTACGTGGGAATCAGGGGTGTGGCCTAGTGGTTAGAACAGGGCAACACGGCTGCAAAGTTACATCACATCCCCGTCCTTCAGTTTCCTCATCAGTACAAGGTGGATAACAAGACCAGCCTAGCTCCCAGGTAGGTGAAAGCCTGGGGTGGAAGGAGGAGCTTTAATGTAATATTATTAGAGGGAGAGAGGCCAAATCAGAAACAGCTCCTTTGGTACGCACGCTCACAACCACAAAAAGTCACCCAAAGGTGCTGCTCCAAATGTGGCAGTTCTGGCCCCAGTTTGTCACAGGGTCAGGTCTCATTCCACCCAAGAGGGGAGATTCCTGCTTCCCAGTAACAGGCATGAACAGGGTCCATCACACCCCTTGTAAATAAAAATTCCCTGCCCCAACCCTACCCTGTGTATTTCCTGCCCCTCTCTCTACAGGACAAACCCACAGCAGCTCCCTGAGAAATCCCCCTACCTGAGCCGGCTCCGCTCCAGCCATTTCCCTGCCCTGGCCCGCAGGAGGACGGGATGATCCGGAGTGAAACGTGGATGTTGTTCTGCGGCCTGACAGGGGGGAAAGGGGAGTGGGGAGGTTTCAGATGGGACTTGAGTCCACTTCACGCCCCGATTCCCCCCCAGCTCCATCCCTGCAGAGGGACCTTCCAGATTCTGCTGCCCCTGCTCTCCCCCGTCTCCCTCCTGCCCCCTCTCCCCTCCCCTCGGCTGGGAGACTCGGTCCCTGGCCGGGTCCCGGCCCGTTCGCTCTCCCGGCGCTGGCCCGGCTCCTGCCGGCGCTCAGGGGGGCAGAGCTGGGGGGCGGGGGGGGGCAGCAGCAGCTCCGGGACTCGCGGACACCCCCCGGGAGCAGAGCTGGGGCGAGGAGGGGCCGTTGGTGCGGAGTCACTTTCCTGCCCGGCCCCGGCCCTTCCCCCGGGTCTCCCCCCTCACCTGCAGGCTCCGGCTCAGGGGCTGGTGTCGGCGGAGCCCGGGGCTGCCCCAGGGGCTGGTTCCACCCACCGCAGAAAGTCCCGCCCCCCGGCTGGCACAGAGCGGGGTTAATGCAGGTCGCTCCCCGCACAGACCCCGCTGGGGAGCAGCAGCGGCTCAGCCCGGGCTCACAAGCATCGAGTCCCATCCAGGAGCCGCAGAGCCTCTCCTCGCTCCCCCCAGCATCCACACCAGCCTCAGCTGCTCCAGCCCCTTCCTGTTCCCCTCAATACCAAGCCGAGCTGCAACACGCACTGGATGGAGCCGCCCTGGTCCAGGCTGGGGGGGCGAACTAATAACGACGCTGAGTGAGGCCCACCCAGCTCAGCGAGCCTCTCGCCGGGGGAGGCGGCTCTTTCTGCAGCTCAGTGACCCTCCAGCTCTTGCCTGGTCCAGCAAACCCCCAGCAGAGAGCAGAGAAAGCTCAGCCTGGTTCCTCGTCCTCGCTGCAGCCCCAGCTCCGGAGTCCTCTTGCCTACCTCGTGATGAGGGAAGGCGTGACCGAGAACTTCCCTTCTGCTGTATCACATGCCCAGTGAGGGGCCGTTAAGGGTTAATGGGATTTTATGAACCCAGTGTTGCCACAGGAAAAATCACGAGCTAAACCACAGGAAAATCACAAGATGGACTTAAAAAGGGTGAGGTTTTAAAAGGTCCCCCGAAGTTCCTTTTGTTTGCTTTCTACTTTTTGGAACCTTTAAGGAGTTCTGTTTTCCAGGTTTCTTTGGCATGGGTGTTGTTGTTTTGGTGTGGTTTAGAGGGCTTTTATGTTTGTTTGTTTTTAAAAGAAACATACCCCCTTTTCTAAGTGAAAGCAGAGATTTTCCCATGATCACAGGAGTCCAGGAGCTGGAACTTTAAGGAAAATCCCTAATATCACAAGAGTGGTGATTACAATCCAGAGAGCTGGCATTTCTGTTATTTAGTATATATTTATTTATGAGCTCTGTTGCGGAAGCATCGAACACATGTACACAGACACAGAAACACACACAAAATCACAGTGTCCCTGGACTCTAAAGGGATAAAATCACCCTGAAGAAAGTAAAGGGTTTTTAGTAAGATTATTTAACTGTTTTCCTTTTAAAAACAAAACCAAAAAAACCTTTTTATTAAGGCAAAGTTACAATAAAAGGTTAACATACTACATTATTTATCCCGTCTGTATTAAAAGAACCTGGCTGAAACCAGAATCTTTCCTTTGTTTTTAACAACTATTTTATAATGTTGCCAATTCCCACAATTGCATCATGAGGTTTGCAATCTTTGGTGCATTTCCGAAAGCCCCAGCTCCTGAATTCATGTTATTCCACGAAAGTCTCAGCTTTCAGTTATAAAAATACAGGAACACAGGACTGGAAGGGCCATTCTGGGCTAGTGAGAAATCCAGTCCCCCTGCTCTTGCAGGCAATCCCATCATATAATCCCATTCATGAATTTATCAAGCTCCATTTTAGTATTAATTAGGTTGTTTGCCCCCACTATGACTATTGAGAGGCTGTTCCAGAACTTCACTTCTCTGATGGTTAGAAACCTTCCAATTTCCAACATAGATTTATTCACGGCTGCTTAGTTTCTTGGCCTGTTGGTTGCAGAGGAAAGCTTGTAAATTTGACCTGATTGTTTCATAAAAGTTCAAAATGTAGAAGGCAAATTTAAAAAGCCATCATCTATCTAATCGATCTAATCTATCTATCTATCTATCTATCTATCTCATGATCTGCAAGGTAATCTCATGATCTTGGGAGGGACCTGACTCATGGGTTTTGAAGATTTGCGGTTTGTTGTGCTTTATTCAAATCCAGTGAAAACTGAACATTTGGGAGAAAACGTGTCTTTGTTAGCGGTCCGACACTCTGCTTCTTCAGTGAATATGTGAGAGCTCACAGTTCAAATGTCTCAGGCCTCCAACTGCCAGCAAAGCTCAGGGCGTCTGATTCAGATGTCCTGATATTGCCCAGTTCAGAAAAAGCAGGGGAGGTGGATTTTTAAAATTGAGGTTTCCTTTATACATCATTTTAAATAAAAGCACAAACTCAATGTTAAAACATCCCTTTGCAGGTGACTTTGAATAGTGAGGATCAGCGTGCGAGCAGTGACTGAGAAACGCAGGACGGGTAGCACAGACTCTCCATGTGTGTGGGTAGAAAGGCGAATGAGACACCAAGAAGCATCGTCGCCCTCTGGTGTGAACCCCATCCTCCAGCCACCCAGTGTGGGTCCCTCATAGGTCCTTGGGGTTAGCCCCATGCCCCAGCAGCACCCTGACATGATCCCCCATCATGTCCCCTGTCATAAATATAAAGGGAAGGGTAACCACCTTTCTGTATACAGCAGCTCCTTCATTTTGTGAATAGCTGAAACTATTTGTGTCACATCTGTAAATAGTTTCAGGTATTTTTCACTGAATAAGTTATTTGTCCCCCCAAAAATTTGCCCAGCTCTACACAGGACACGTTAGCCTCTGCAGAGCCAATTATTAACATTGCAATAGCACCCAAATTGACATAGATGCTCCATTGTGCTAGGCACGGAGAGAGCCAGCCCCTGGCCCAAAGAGCTCATGATCTAAATAAAACAGATACAGAGAGGACAGCCTATAAATCCTCATTGCACAGCTAAGACAAAGAGAGGATGTGACTTGACCAAGGTCATGCAGGAGACCAGTGGCAGGGATGGGAATAACACCCAGGTGCTCTGAGTTCCAGCCTAGTGCCCACCCCACTAGGCCAGTACTTCTTAACTAATATGCTGTGATTACAGCTGTGTGAAGAATGGGTTTTTTCAGTTTGCAAGCACAGTAGAACCTCAGAGTTAGGAACACCAGAGTTAGGAACTGACCGGTGATCCACACGCCCCATTTGGAACCGCAAGTACACAATCAAGCAGCAGCAGAGACCTAAATAAACAAATAAAGCAAGTACAGTACAGTAAGGCTGGTATGTCCGGCTATGGTTGGGTTAGATTTCCAAGTATGTGACAGCTGGATGGAATGACCGGTTTTCCCCAGAGGCCTCCTTCAGTCTCCTGATCTCTGACAGCTCTCACCTGCCCCCTGACTCATCAGGTCTCTCACACCTTTAACACCCACATGGCCTCTCTTAAGCCTGATGAGGGGTCCTCTCGATCCATGGCCCAGGACAGTCACTGTCGTTCCTTCCAGCTGTCACATACTTGGGAGTCAACCTTGATCATAGCTGGACATACCGGCTTCACCCGGAACACCTGGAAATGAAGATCTCTTCCTGTACTGCCTCTTCGTACACCTGTATTGGACCTGGTGTTTGTTCCAGTTGAATACAGCTTTGCAGTCTGGGGGGAGCGCAGCTTCACAACACAGAGCTGAATTGGGCCTCTCGTGTTCTCAGCGTACTCCTGCATACGAGAGAGAGGAGTCCCCTGATGAGTCACACGGGCCCCCACTCCCTCAAAGGCCAGCATCACCCTGTGTCCGGGTTGCCAACCTGAAAAGGTTGAGAAACACTGGTCTAGACCATGCTGCCACCATGATTGAATTCCAGGTCCCATTATTAGGCTTGTTTGAATTCCAGAGCATTAAAATAAACTACCCTGATTAGAAATGTCGACTTTTAGTTGAAAGTTTCTAACTCAAGAATGGTTTGTTGCCTCCACTTCCGACTTGCCACATGGTCGGCTCTCCCTGAAAACCTTAATTCCAGGCCTAATTGTGAGAAACCGGGCTGCAATTAAGCAAGTCGATGAGTAATTTTTGGGAGGTGTTGTTCAGAGGAAGGTTGGGCTAGCATGATGATACTGAGACTGGGGCTTACAAGCCACAAGTGGCTCTTTAATGTGTTTCCGGCAACTCTTTGCAGCACATGATAGTAAAACACTGTGTGATTTAATTATTAACCGATCTAAGTTATTAACCAATCAGGACACTTTTACAATAGAACTTCAGAGCTCCAAACACCCCAGGGACAGAGGTTGGTTGTAACTCTGAACAAAATGTTATGGTGGTTCTTTCAAAAGTTTACAACTGAACATTGACTTGACAGCTTTGAAAATTTACTGTGCAAAAGAAAAATGCTGCTTTCCCTTTATTTTTTTAGTAGTTTACATTTAACACAGTACTGTACTGTATTTGCTTTATTTTTGTCTTTTCTCCACTGCTGCCTGACTGAGTACTTCTGGTTCCAAATGAGGTGTGTGGTTGACTGGTCAGTCTGTAACTCTGGTGTTCGTAACTCTGAGTTCTACTGTACTCTGTTATGAACCAATTAAGTTATTAAACATGCACTACGTTATTATTATTTCAGTTACTATTATAATAACTTATAATAATAAGTTATTATTATTTCACCAGGAGGGTGGTGAAGCACTGGAATGGGTTACCTAGGGAGGTGGTGGAATCTCCTTCCTTAGAGGTTTTTAAGGCCTGTCTTGACAAAGCCCTGGCTGGGATGATTTAGTGGGTGTTGGTCCTGCTTTGAGCAGGGGGTTGGACTAGATGACCTCCTGAGGTCTCTTCCAACCCTGATATTCTATGATTCTATGATTAACCAGTCAGGATACTTTTACTATGATCATGTGTTTCCTTGCTCATGAAGAGCGGATGTAGGGCTGAATAAGCATGGTTTAAATAACGTTAAGATTTCTGTCACTACAGCTGTAGTTGATAAAATAATAAGGCTTGATCAGTCATTTTACTGTGAGAATTAGACAGATAGATAGATAGAAAACTAAATATTTCCCCTGTCATACTGTTTAAACCTGAATATAAAGTACTATAGTAAATGAAACAATGAATTCACACTGCTGTGTCTCTTTTGAGTAATGCTGATCACTAATTTGGCTCCTGACTCACTGAGGTCTGAGCATCACTGAGCTAGCGGTTGGGGCACTGGACTGGGTCCCAAGGTACCTGTGCTCATGTTTTGACTTTGTCATATTCTTCTTGTGTGACTTTAGGCAGGAAGTTCTCAAAGTCCCCTATGGGAGACAACAAGCTGAATTCCACTGGGAACTGAGGCCTATTGATTTCAATAGGAGTTAGGCACCTAAGTACAACAGAACCTCAGAGTTCCGAACACCTCGGGAACAGAGGTTGTTCGTAACTCTGAACAAAACGTTATGGTGGTTCTTTCAAAAGTTTACAGCTGCACATTGACTTAATACAGCTTTGAAACTTTACTATGCAGAAGGAAAATGCAGCTTTTAACCATCTTAATTTAAACAAAACAAGTCCAGAAACAGTTTCCTTATCTTGTCAAATCTTTTTG